ACGACTGCTATCGGTGCACGACATCGTCTGCTTCCGGCCCATAGACCAGCCTCCATGTATTAGAGTCGAGGTACTTCAACGCCATTGTTTTTTTTTTTTGAATCAGTATTGCGAAAGTTTTTAGTGGTGTACGGTATGTAATTTATGTGCAGGAAGTCTGACCGGGAGCTAAAAAATATCACATGTAGGTGTTGCCAATGAATAAACAGAAGGGAGCAGTCACAAAACCGGCTCTACTACCCACATGATTGAATGCTAAACTTATCGGATTAAAGAGAAAAAACTTTACACTTTGGAAGCATCAATTACTCAATAGAACCCAGGGGTTCTACAAAGCTTTTAAGTTTTTATGACGAGCTTAGCTTTGAATAAGGTTCTGCATTTATTAGCTTTACAAAATGCCTTCAAATTAGGATTTGTGATAGAACAACGGCGGGATTTCAAATGAGCTTCTTGGAAGTCAGTTCGCTGGAGAAGTGTTCCAAGCGCTAGAGATCTCAAGGGATTTTCTTGAAATTTCCCAATCTATGATGCCTGTTGAAGAGGCGGCTCTCAGCGCTAGTTCCCACAAAAGCGTGGGCGAGAGTTAGGGCAACAGAAAAAGAATGTGTAAGGAAATGGATGACGTTTTCATCGCTGATTAATCTCAACTTCAGAATGCGCCCTCCATTCAATTCCTATTGAGAACCTAGTGGTGATTTGAAAGTGGCCTATACAATCACTCGCGGTGGCCAGCCGATGTACTAGTCAGTGCTGTTATTCTCCCGGATGAGTTCGGTAACAATTAATCGCCTAGTGAGGCGAAACTTGATTAGCCCAATCCAGAATTCGAGCCCCGGACCATGCGGGTAAGATGGCACGCCACTGATCACTATGCCAACTCCGACACCAACGAGAAACTGTCGCTCTCTTCAATCATGTCCGAACTCACACCGTTTACCCTTCAAGAATGTACCGTGGTAGCAATCGACTGCCCGGTCTACCCATTTCTTCCATTCCTGTGGAGTAGGAATGCAAGCCGTGTTGTTCCTACCTGTGCATTGTTGGGGTTGCGCCCTCTACACCAAACTTTGGTTGGGGAGCTAGGCTAGGCAAGTCATTGTTGGAATTCGTTCTGGTAACAAAAAACTGACATCAACAACGACTTTAATTTCCATTTTTTCGAGTTTTGATTCCACTACCTGTGACGGATTACTTGCATGAATTTTACATAATTTACAGTGTTTTGTTTGTTCAACTCACGACATATAAATAAATATACCAATGAGACCATTCGTCTTCTTGCATTTGTTCATGGATGATTCTTACATATTTGGTTCCGGCAATTACTCTGGTCTCCTAGAGCTCTATGGATATGGGTCAGCAAGCGACACTGCTCGAATTGAGACGGTCGTAGTAGGGCCCTCTTGCCAGCTGGCTCTCTGCCAACAGTCGATGGCTTGATGTGTTTTGGCCCTACTTTTCGCTTTCTCGAGTTCTTATACGTTTTATTCTTCATGGTTTTTTCTTTCCACAAATGTAAAGATCCCTTTAAGAGGGGCAAATAATAGAAATCGCTGTGATCTCGCGTCGAAACGGTGACCTCAGTAGCATCTCTTGACTCACATCTGACCCAAATTTCCCTTTGATGACGGGACTTCAGCACGCCTTTCACAATATTTACTACTGTTTTTCCTCCCAAGACAAACGAATTCATTAAACTTGTTATTATTATTTTACACAATAGGAAGGACTAAAGTTTAAAGTTTGAAGTTTTTCGTCGTTGATAGATAATGTTTTGGAATGCGCCCAGAAGGGACATAGCATAAAAACAAAACTTTCGTCATTCCATTCCACCATTCCATGGCTTACAGTGTTTATTTCCTTTTAGGAATCCAGCAGTTGACCACCGACCGGGTAAAAAGGGGTTTTTGCAGTTTCTGCAGCCAAAGATCGTACTGATGTCGTCCATCGTCGTTTCTGACAAGTTTGATAGTGCTGAAGGTGTTGAAGGACAGGTTTTTAGAGACA